ACAAATGTTGAAGGCCTAGCCTGGTGCCAGGGCTGTCTCCTGAGCCAGATAGGACTCTAGATTTGAGTTCAGAGTCGAGGAGGTGAGCCCCTCTTGTCCTGTCAGCCTTTTGCGACAAGTCCAGGAAGAACACTCAGCTTTCTCCTTTAATAGGGCTTCCAAGTTTTCAGAGAACCAGTCACTTATACATGAGGGAGGCTCGATTGCTTTTTCTGGGGGTAATGTTCCTTCCCTTTAACCATATCTTGAAGGGAGTTTCTTACTGACTTAATGTTTGTTTGTTTGTTTTTTATCAGAGGAGCTAATTAAAAAAAATTAGCTATAGTTTGTGAAAATAGCCATGGGTCAAAACTTGAGATTGCATGGTTCTCCGAAGCTAGGTCACTATCCTGAAAACTGACACTGCCAGAGCTCCACCTTGATGTGTGTGTGTCACAGAGGCCAAGACTGGGGAGACAGATGGGGAAAAATGGGTCAAGGTCAGAGAATTTAGACCTTGGTCGGGCCATGGAGGGTAGGTGGGATACTAGGTGGCTTGGGGAGACTGGAGGACAGCACCCCAGAGATGGGCTATGAGTCATGTGATCATTGTGGAAAATGTTGGGATTAAACTACTTCACCCTCCCAGCTGCTGTTGGTGGAGTGGAGCTTTCAACCCCTATGCTATTTGTGACTGTTCTGGACTGTGAAAGTGCCAGGAGATTTTCATTTTCTTTGGGATGCTCTGAGGAGAGAGGGGGAAGAAGCTGCCATGCACTGGTCTTACCTTCCATGCACATTGGACTCACAAGAAAGGCAGACTCGCTCAGCAAGGATGAGAACACGTCAACAGTTAGTGAGGAGCAGTCTGCTGAGGTGAGCATCGAGCTCCCTGGGATGGGCGGTAGGAGGCTTAAAGACTTTCCAGGGTATGCAGAGTTCCTGCACTGGTTGGGAAGTTGGACTGGGAGACTTCAGTGGTTCATAAAATTGCAAAGTCTATGATTCTCTGAATATCTGTATACTCTTCTTCCTGCCTCAGCATTATAAATTTATGAGTATTATTTAATTACATCTCTAAATGGGTTTATTAACTTACCTCAGACCACAGTGGGCAACTGCCTCCAGAAATGGGTTTCAGAGCTTTGGGAAGGCTCCAGAGATGAGAAATATACACAGCTAAAGCCTTGTCTTTTCCTTAAGGACCTGGTCCTTAGGCAAAGGCAACAGCTTCAGGAGGGGCACCGCCCAAGCTTTAGCAGCCCCCTCTTACCCACACACTGAGGCATAATTATCAAGCTGTGTTCCTAAGAGAGCAAGCTTTGTCCCAAGACATCCTGGAATGCATTGCCTGTGTGAATTTCAGCAAATCCCAAGTGCAGTCTATAAACTATGCATAAGGATGAGGCCTATTTTATAATGTTGCTGTGAGAATTAAAGGACAGTGCAAGGCAAACACAAAGCCCAGTAGCTGGCCCAGTGCTAGGAACCAGTACATATCAGGTATTATTCACTCTTTGACTCACATGCTTTGATCCAACTCTTTCTGGAGAGTGAGATGGGTGGCACACAGGTGAAGGGTGAGAACAACTTCTATATCCAAGAAGGAAATTCTTTGAAGCCTGGAGAAGGGACCCAGGAGGGAGGAAGCAGAAGCCGAGAGCACGGGAGACTTGGCTGTAGTTTTGCCCAAGGAACTGCAGCCCCACCAGTTTCCCGCCTTTCTGTCTTGATGAATAAACTCCAGATAACAAGTTCCGAGAACTCATGACTTAGGATGCTTGTGAGCTCTGAAAATGCACAGGAGACCACTCGTTGTCTTGCCTTTAAGTTTTTTGCTTCCCAAATAAACACGTCAAAGTTTCCTAAACAGAATACAACTTCCACAAGGGCTTCATCTACTTCCTGGAACAGGGTTCACAGATTTCAACTAAGTTCCTCTAAGGACTGAGGACCTTGGGGGCTCTAAACTAAGGACAAGCAAGGGGCCAGGGAGACAGCTCAGCAGCTTAAGTGCCCACCTGGCAAGCTCATGGTCCGGAGTTCAATCCCTGGTACCACATAATTAAATAAATAAAAATAAACTA